CGAGAATAATTTTATGATGTAACAGGGAAGAGAGATTTTGTTTCTGAACTTGACTCAATGTGTTTGGAAGCACAAGTAATGGACATTTATGCTTGGGAGATAGAAACGAGTAGATGGTCATATGATGCAATGGCATTGGCGGTGTCGGAAACAAGTAAGGTAACTCTATAATTTGGTTCTTTATATTCATTAACGTTATAAATTATATTGTGTTATGTATGATGGCCTATGATTAAAAATTATATAAAATGGTTAAATGTTACTTCGATAAACTGTCGTCATTAGTTATATTTTAATAAAGGAAAATTGTTTCATGCGGACTGGACTGCATGACTATATATACGGTCCAAAAAGTGTAAAGCATCCATTTTTAAGATGGATGCAAGTAGTTGTTCCATCTAAAAACAATGGAAACTAACGGTCCAAATGTTTTCTTATTAGAACTATTATTTCTAGCTTTTAAAATTTACTTATTTTTTCATATTCATGTCTCCATGTTAGAGATTACAAATCCTTAAAAATTAAATGTAAAAATTCATCTCAAAAATAGATTTATTAATAGGTCCGCATTTCTACATATGCAGGCTTGGCCGCATAGAAACCGGGTCCTTTAATAAATTGTGTTATTAGTAATATACTCGTGGATTCACGTGAAGACGAACCGTTCTCCGTACAGGCCCAGGCTCAGCTCGGGGCTGAGATGACGTGGCTCTTAAGCCGAAATCTGGCTCACCTCAGCCCTTTGGGCTGGACATGCATATATACATATGCGGTGTTACAATACAAAATGGAATTCTAAACCCACGTGCCTTGGAAATTTTACATATGGGTTTCTAAAACCACATTACCTAGTGAAATAATTGCCAATTTTATTTATTGCCCAATTATGTTTGCAACAATGCTTAATTGATTAAAATATTAATTTATCATATAAGGTGCAGCTTAGTGGAGGTTAAGAAACAAAAAATATTGCCCGGTGGTAATATATTATTTTATGGAGGAATTATTCCACATGGAATTACATATATTACACTATCCATATAAAAGTTGTGGTGCTATCCATAAAATGATTATGAAAATTGAAGCCAAACAAGGTACAAATTTGACATATCTATGAATGGTAATGGTTCAGATAATACATTAGTAGATACACTATTTTTAGGACTTGAAATCATTTTTTGTCGATTTATAAATGTCTTTAATCTATCTAAGGTTTTTTTCATGCCGAAACAACTTTTTTCGGTGAGATTTGAGATACAACCCCAAAAATCACAACTTGAGGATGAACATTAATCCGTATTTAAGTTCCTCTACGAGTGCAACGAAAACATACTTTAAACCATATAAATTCCTATATAAGTGTGACTTAAACAAACTTTACTCCATTTAAATATCCTATTTAAGTGCAAACAAAACAATCTTTTGTAATTGAAGCATGCAATTCTCTCTCACAAATCTCCCTCACCGCTCTCTCTCAACCCTCTGCTTTCCTCTCTTACAGACTTATAAGCAGATCCATTTGCAAGCCTCGTAAAAGATACCTCATTTTTTTCAAGCGAGGATCCATTTGCTTCATCTTCCTTAACAAGAACATGGCTATTTCACTATTCTTGCAGAGCTAGGGAAAGTTAAAGAGAGGATGAACATGAAGTATGCGTGAGTGGACCTTTAGGCTTCATTGCCTGAAGGCTCGTCAAGGTCCTTTTACTGAGGGGTTACACAGTTCAAGCCACTGCTCGTGATATCAGCCAAAATCGACAACCAAATGTATGGCCCAAGCTTGCCCCTTACCCCTCTACCCCTTCTACTGTCAGTTTATTAATCTTGTTTGCCCCCTCCCCATCTCTGGCTCCAACAAGCTTGCCTCGGAAGTCTCTAACTCCAAAAAATATTCTATAGATATTGTCGTAATTAATATTGCCCAATCTTCATCCTCTTCTCCAAGCATCACCACCCATCTTGCATCCTCTTTTACAGCCAACATCCATGCACCTTCAATTAAGGTCCACATCTCCCCTTTCACCCTAATTTTCTTTATCCAATGGGGTGCCTCATATTTGGCTCCCCAAGACTTTGTAGCATATTTTTTCCATAAAAAATTCCCTAATAGATTCTTTCTTAGCTCAAATAAACGATATCAGAGGAATCACTGAATGCTTCCAGCCTATCTTCAAAAAATGACCACAGGCCTTTGCACAATGAAACTTATCTCTTTGTCGGACGGAGCTCTCATCCCATCCAACGTTCGCCTTAGTTGTCTTTTTTCAGAGACTCTCAGAAAATGCACAATGAACTTTATCTCTTTGCCGGACGGAGCTCTCATCCCTTCCAACGTTCGCCTTAGTCGTCTTTTTTTCAGAGACTCTCAGAAAATGGACTGAGTCCATTGACGCCGAATGAAAAACTAATGTACGAATTCTTTTCTAGGGTATTCCAATCCATCTTTGTTCTGATTTCCTCTTTAAAGCCATTGGGGACTCCTGTGGTGGCTTTATTTCAATTCACTGGAAGTCCTTAAGTTCTCACCCCTTAGGCCGCCTTATAATCCTTGTTGAATCACTTAACCCTGACTCCATTCCCTACTCTTGTCCCCTGAATTTTAATGGTTTTGCATACCACAAAATCTTTATCCAGGGGCTACAAACCCTGATCCCAATGAAAGGGCCTCTATGAACCGTGAAAGTTGTATGAAAGGAAAGTATATCTTGTGTATCAAGTTAATATGAAAAGCATATATTGCAAATAGTAGAGTATATGTACACTATGATATGTCTAGATATAGTTTAGGTATCTGTGATTTAGTTTCTATTATTGTCATCTATCTATAAAAGGCAAGTCTGTATATTCGTATAATTATTGGACATTGAGTCTCTTCAGAGATACCTGAGACTATTCACATGGTATCCGAGCAAGGTTCATCTTAGTTGTGTCAATTCCTCATCCTTGAAGCATTATCGCTAATTTTCAGGATGAGTCTGTTGCTCACCCAGTCGGTGCAACTTCTGTCGAGTCATGTTTCGACTCTCTGCTATGTCTCTTTGCCGAGTCGAGTCGTTTTCGACTCTTTGATCTGTTTTATTTTTGGGATTTTTTCCTAGTAATTTCTCAAGTGCACTATCTCTCCAGGATTGTCCGACTGATTTGTAAGAGATAAGTAGTGTATGTTCTTTTGTCTCCAACTCAAAGCTCGGTGTACTATTGAAGATCCACTACACGTTTCCGCAACTTAGTGTTCAAACATAGCATCTTGAGTTTGAGGGGGAGTGTGAAAGGAAAGTATATAATGTGTATCACGTTAATGTGGAAAGTACATATTGTGGGAAGGATTAGTAGAGTATATGTACATTATGGTCTGCAACTTAGTGTTCAAACATAGCATCTTGAGTTTGAGGGGGAGTGTGAAAGGAAAGTATATAATGTGTATCACGTTAATGTGGAAAGTACATATTGTGGGAAGGATTAGTAGAGTATATGTACATTATGGTAAGTCTGGGTATAGTTTAGGTATCTGTGATTTAGTTTCTATTATTTAGTTTCTATTATTGCCATCTGTAATTTGTCTATAAATAATAAGTCTGTATATTCATATGATTAATGGACATTGAGTCTCTTCAGAGAAACTTGACACTCTTCAGAGGCTAGACAATAGTGTCCTACAAGAAACGTTCCTCCTTGAGACCCTTCTCTTTTTTTATGTTCCCTCTCCCACTCCCCACCTCACCATCCCCTCTCATGTCTAGAAGATATGAACAACATCCAGTCCTCCCGTGAGGGGACTACCAAAGTTAATGGTCCCTCTAATCTTAAACCAACCTCTGTTTCCAAGACTCATGTGAAAACCATCGGTAGTGTTAAGAAGATGAAGGCCACTATTAAAGCTTCTGTGAAGGGTTCTCGCTCTTCGGCAAGGCTCCAAGCTAGGGGTGTCTTCAAAGGTCGTTCGTTGGCTGCGATTGTGTTTCGTGATAACTCGGTGGTGGAGGTGGACTCGGCTTCAAGTTCATCTTCTAGTGATAAAGAGCGGGATGCTGCTATAATGATGGAGGACATGTTCTTTGGCTTTGGTCCTGATGGACCAGGTTCTTCCTCAAACCCCCCTCCTCTCTTATGAATTTCAATTCCTGGAATGTTAGGGGATGGAGGAAAAGGGTTGTTTTCTTTTTGGTATCTAAATTCAAACTTCAAAAACAAAAATAAAGATAAAAATCACCAGTCCTAAACCTGGAAGAAAACAAAGAAAAATAGAACAGGGGGATCTAGAGAGAGTGTGTGTTCATGTCCTCCCTCAGCTCAACTCATCTCAATGTCCTTCTCATCTTCATCCCTGATCACCTTCCCCCAAAACTTGTGATCCTTCCATACTTCCTCCATCTCCTCAATTGGAATATTCTTGGTCTCAGGCAAAAAGTAGTAAATGAATGCAGTCATGAGACCCACGAAGGCGGCGAAGAAGAAGAAGAGACCAAACTTCATGTGACAGAGCATGGACAAGAAAACTTGAGCAATGATGAAGGTGAAGAGCAGGTTCACAGAGACATTGATGCTCTGACCAGCAGACCTGATCTCAAGGGGGAAGATTTCAGAGGGGACCAGCCAGCCCAATGGTCCCCAGGACCACGCAAAGGCAGAGACGTAGATGCATATGAAGAAGACCACCAAATCGGCATAGGTTTTAGAGAAGGTGCCCTGGCCTGTGAGACCGAAATTCACGGCAATGAGAGCAGCAACGACAATCTGAAAATGCAAAGAAGAGTTTAGTTAGTGGGAGTTGAATAAAAAAAGAAACAGAGCAGGGGCGTTGAAAGGAGTATAAGAAAAGGAGAAAAGAGAATAGATATAGATAGATAAGAGAGACTTGAAAAAGAATAATAGATAGAGAAGAGAAGAAAGAAGAGAATTAAGCATTCTATATAAGTGAATGAAAAAAAAAACATATATTTACATGGAGAGAAAGGGAGATATTATTGTATTTTTTAAAATATTTAAAAATTTTACTGTATAATCATGGGAGTTGGTTCGAGCCCAAGCCCGAGTCTAATGGCCGAGCCGGGGGGCTGCCCAATTTTTGGGCATCTTTGGTTTGGTCAAGATGACATGAACATGAACAGGAGCATCAGGAATACGAGCATCAGGAAAGGGTCTGGGGTCGTGGTGGTAGGCAACCCCAGCGATCTTCCCACTGGCACCACTCATATAACACCTTTAAAAAAAACCTAACTCTGAAAAATGAGTAAGGTCCTATCTTTCTTATTGAGTTACTGAAAAAAAAAAAAAAAATTAAAAAAATAAAAGAAATAAAAAGCGTGAATTGAACTAGGGGAATTTGTTTAAAAATTTTTTTGAAAAATTGCTGAACATTAAAAGAGAGTATAGATCTGTCACTGAATTTTTCTCTCACCTGCGAACCGAACATCTGCAGCCCTCCCTCAAGGAACAAGAATCGACGGCCAACCTTGTCGACAGTCCACACTGACACGAGGGTGGCGACCATGTTTACCAGACCTGAGATCACGGACGACATCAACGAAGCATCGCTGCCAAATCCGATGGTCCTGAAGAGTACTGGGGCATAGAACATGATCACATTGATCCCAGTCAACTGTTGAAAGGTTGGTATCATAATGGCCATGACCAGCTGCGGCCTGTACCTCCTCTTCAAGATGTTCTTCCAGGGATGTTTCACCTTCTGTGAAGCTTCGCTGGCCTCGATGAGATCGTTAAACTCTTCCCCCACATCAGTAGTACCTCTGATCTTCTGTAACATGGCCCTGGCTATGTCGTTTTTCCCACGCTCGATGAGGGAGTTTGGCGTGTCGGGGAGGAAAATGGATCCGACGGTCATGATGATGGCAGGGACCGCAGCGAGGCCAAGGGACACTCTCCATCCTATGTCACCCTTCATCTTGTTTGTGCCGTAATTTATGAGGTTGGCCATGAGGATGCCCACGGTAATAGCGAGCTGGAACATAATGTTCAGGGCGCCACGAAGCCTGGGCGGCGCCATCTCTGACAAGTAGAGTGGGACCGACTGCAATGGAAGAGAAGAGTGAGCGCTCTGTCTCTCATGTTAATGGGATTACTTAGCAGAGTTTTAGAATAACTTAGTCAGTCCAACAAAGTGAGATGTAAAATCAGATGTTGTTTATGAAACTAATGAATGACTAAAAGAATCTCTCATATGAATTAAGGAAAAGTCTACAATTACATGGTACAAGGTGGTTACAATTAATTTTGATCCGGGTGTGAAATTAGGTGGTTGTATTTATTCTATTGACCAAGCTCAAACTTCAAAAGAAACTTTTTCGAATTTTGTAACACACCAAACTATCATATTTCAAATCGGATTATTGTAAGTAATTATGACCTTATTGTATCAAAAGTAAATAGTCTCATTGTATACAATCCCAGCTATCATATTTCACACCGGATGATTGTAAGTAATTGTAACCTTATTATATCAAAAGTAAATGGTCTCATTGTATGCAATCCCATAACTAATACTTTGATAACATTAAATCTCTCTCATGAACCTCATGAAGAAGGAATGAGTACAAGTATTATACCTGATTAGCAAAACCTACTCCGATACCAAGAAGAATCTGCCTATTATAAGCATGGCCACATTTTGGGCAAAACCATTGAGAATGGCACCCAGCAGAAATGTAAGTCCACCCGCTACCATAGTTGGCTTACGCCCAAACTTGCGAGTGAGATAAGAGGCGACAAAAGAGGCCAAAAGACCAGCGATGTAGAGCGACGAGGTGAATGTCACAAGGAGTTGGCTATCAAAGGTGCAATACTGGTTTCCATTGTCTTTATTCTCTTTCATCTTCATCAAAACTGAGGGGAAGAATTTTTTCAAAAAGGTATCCATTGAAGTTACTCCCCCTACAAAACACAGGCAACACAAAGAGATGAGTTCGATTGAAACAAATAGTTAAAAACTAAAAAATAATAAAAATAAAAGTAAACTACAAACAACATTAAAAGTGAAAATATATCAAAGATGACATTAAAAAATTGATTTATGACTAGCACATGTGCAACTAATGTATATTGTTGTTCATAATTTGTTATCGAATTTGATAGCACTTTTAAGGTGTTGTCAACTTTTACCACCTCGTCGTATCCGAGTTATTCAAGTCTATTAAATCTTGAAGATTGAGACTTGTTCAAAGATCTATTGAATTATAAGAA